AAGGAAATTGTGGCGTCTGCCACACACCCTTGGCCAGCCTTGCGGGCTTCAGCAACATGTGTGCTCTGTTAGCTGCAAATGCTGCATGGGCAGGAGATGAGTACAAATAGCGGCAGAATAAATGCGGTGGTGTGGTATCTGTGACGCGACCCACGATGAACTTCAACAAGACAAATCTAATATGGCCACACTATCCAGCACACTCTTCGAGGGCAAACTTTCATACAACACCTATACATTTCTAGACATTTACACCCTAATAGTTGCAAATTTATGCCTGTTCAGAAGGATTGCAATTTTTTCAGTATTTGTTTGGGAGTTTCAGCACAACCTTCGTCGACATCGTCGACAACGCGTCGGGCAACGTCGAGCACAGTGACAACAGGGGTACGGCAGTATCCGGGACGTTCCCACGGCCCCTTGCCCGTTGCTCTCAGCGGGATTCGAACTCACGGCGTGCCCTCAGCCAAACGCAAGTGCGAAGTGCAAATGCAAAATAGACCTGACACTCCTGGTCAACCGTAGATACCGACACGTGCGATATAAATCCATTCAACAAGTCAGTCAGTGTACGTTGGACAGGACAGGACGGGGTGGACATATCCCAACCCGGAATAAGACGAAAAGTCCATTATGCGTTCCAGAAACATCATCTCGAACCCTGTCCATCACGCACGCCGGCGGTAAGTAACGTAAATTCAATCATGTATGGACGCAGCCTGCCAAAACCCGACCTCGCCTCGGGCCAACAGGGGCCCGTCTGAATCGAGCTCAGGGTCGCGCACAGTCACGATCGCCCGCAAGCTTCCAACGTCCGCATCTGTATCTATGCCGGTATGTATCAGGGAAATCTTTGGCAGGAAACACGCACGCAGTCGAGTCCGAGTCGCAGATACCCCAAGTCCAGAGAGTCCAAAAATACACTCCCTCACGCCTTCCCCTCCTCCTCGTCCTCCGGCACGGAGAACAGCGCGACGCCCTCCTCCTTCCTGCCCACCCCCATCTCGAGGTCGTTGCCGCTGTTGTTTTTGGTCGCCGGCGCGGGCGGCTGGCCCTGTTCGAGCGACTTGACGTACGTGTAGTACCTATATGACGTCGGGTAAGGTCAAGAGCAGGGGTGAGAACGAGGATAAGAATGAGAAGAGGTGATAAGCTAGCGAGAACGCGAAGACGAAGACGAAGACGCACATCGTGCCGCCGAGGATGACGAGAATAGACAGCGCGCGGTTCCTGTGTGGGGAAGGGCGACGTCAGCTTTGTCATGTCATGGAACCGAAATATGTTCAGCACGGAAGATAATGTGAAGATCGCCAGTGTCATGTCTGCCTGACCGGATCGATTGCTGGGGGGAGTGGGTAACGTAAAGGCTCAGTCATCCACGGGTTTATCGCGGTGGAGGGAAAGAGGACGGAAATATGGAATGAATTGGGCGTGGCGACGAGGGAAAATGTCCTCGGTGCCGACATGCGGCCGGCATGAACGAAAATATGGAAAAGGAGCGCGAGGGAGGATAGAGCCTGGAACGTGCGCGAACATGCGAGGACAAGAAGTGAGGAGAAGGGACGTACACTGTGAGGAGGTCGTGGAAGATCCAGACTCCGAGGAGAGTCTGGAGGACCGAGCGAGCGGCCTATAGTGGTGCGATCGTCCGTGAATTCGGTGAAAACATGAAAATACGAATGGACGCACGCTGGAGAACATATGCGTGACCGGGCTGGTCACCTTGATGCTCAGCAGACCCGCCACGCATAGCAAGAACCCAAAGACACCAGTGACGATACTCCCCCAGAAGAATGTAAAGCCCTCGCTCGCCCACCAGCTGCTCCCGTCGCCGAAGATCTCAGTGGTGATGTGCCATGCCTCGCCGCCGAGGAGCACGAAGGGCAGGATGAGCACCGCGGAGCCGAGGTTGGTCCAGTAGGCGAGCTGGATGGTGGAATTGTTGCAGTGCGGGAGGGACGACTTGATGAGGACGGCGTGGACGGCGATGAAGAGGGAGGAGAGGAAGCCGTAGAAGAGGGAGAGGAGGGACGGCTTGTGCGGGTCGCGCGCGATGTCGGCTGTCGGCGTGTCTTGGTCTGAGACGGCCTGTCGTCCGAGCGAAGGCGAGACGCCGAGGAGGAAGCCAAAGGTGACAATGGAGGCGGAGAAGATGACGAGCTTGCTGGGGGCCTTTTTGGCGACGAAGGAGGAGACGGCGATGGTCAGGGGCAGTTGAAGACCGCGGGCGATCTGGAAGAAGGACGCTTCGACGTCGCGGAGGCAGAGGGTGTTGAAGACGAGGCCGACGATGTTGACGGAGACCACAGGGAACAGCTTCTTTGCGGTCGGCAGATCGAGGTGGGGGAGGTCTATCCGAGGAGTGGCAAACGCGCCAAGGTGAAGGAGGATGACGGCGATTAGAAGCTGGTTGAGGAGGAAGAGGAGGGGCAGGGAGGGCGCGGTTTGGAGGACGGCCTTGTTACTGTGTTGTCTGTCAGATTAGAGGATGCAATGTGAACGCAGGTCTTACACAAAGACCATCTACAAGCAGGTTAAACATTGCTAGTTACTGATACCACTGGTACTTACGACGAGGGCGGCGCCCATGTAAAAGGAGACGACGCCGGCGACCTTGAGGGGATGGGCAGCATCTTGCTTGGAGGACATGTTCGTCGGTCAGGCTGAGACTAGCTCGAGGCAAAGTAAATATGGAGCGAGTCGGAGGGCAGACCCGGAGGCCGGCCACGGACTGGCTGAACAGCAGCCATGGAAAGCCCGAGTCTGCTGCTCGCAGCTGTCATCGCAGACGCGGTCTTCGATAGCGTGAGAATGCACCTGGGCTAATGGACATTTACGTAAGGATCTGAGATGAGATGCGACGGCGCCCAATCAGTGGCGCGGACGTCATCGTGTGACGGTCACCCGCTCGGACAATGGACGCTCTCCTCGCCGATGAAATGTGTTTTCCTGCGTTCATCTCATTTTATTCTTGTCAAATTGTCACAGGTCCTGACATGGCACCTGCCTTTCCCTGCAAGCCTCGCCCATCCGTACGCTACTACTACCCGTCCCTCCCACCCCGCCCATTCCCCCGCCGTAATGACCCCCTCAGAATACAAGTACCACCACGTCCGCTCAGACTCGGGCTCTGCGCTGCCCTTTCTCCCCGACGACCACAAGCTACGCCCCTACCGCGACTCTGAAGAGTCCGACATCGAGTCCCCGCTAACGCCCACCTTCCCCCGCCACTCCTTCTCTTCCTCCTCGTCTTCCCTTAATAATCTATTCACAAAACGCAGACGATGGCTCTTTGTCACATGCGCCTTCCTCTCCGTCGCATCCATAACCGTGCTCTCCATCCTCCTCGTCCTCACAAATAAAGAGCCCGCACCCAGCGTAGTCGACGAATCCGAGAATCTTCCCCAGATCGACCTGTCGCAATGCGCGCAGCCGCCCCAACCGCAAGTCGTCCCTCCATGGGACAAGAGCACCGTCCTGCTTGGCGCCCCGACCAAGAGCTTTAGAGGCACGTCTCCACCGCTTTATTAATTAAACCTTCAACCCTAACGCAGATTGTGTGCTGCAGATAATCTGCGACCGGACAAACAGTACATTACCTCCTGGTGGTCTGCCGGCTGGACGAACGATGTCATGACCGCCGTACGTGCTCCTCCCCGCCACTCTTGGTCCCACTAACCTCGTATGACCAGGCGAACCTAATTTACCTGGGCTTGATTACTGGCCGCACCCCCATCATCCCCCCGTTCACCCCCTCCCACATCGGCGGCGACGTCCCGCCCATCCCCTTCGGCGAGGTCTTCAACGTCTCCCGCCTCGCGCAGGCCCTCGGCAGGCCCGTGCTCGAATGGCACGACGTCAAGGAGATCAGGAACAACTCCGAGCTGGGGTGGAGTCTGCCCTCTGTCCCGGCAGAGGGTGAGGAGCCGCAGACGAACGTGACGACGTGGGAGGTGCAGCAGGACGTGGTCGGGTGCTGGAATACGTGGGAGAGCGTGCAGTACAACGAGCACTTTCCCCGGAGGAGCTCCGTCCCGCACTGGCTGGGCCTAGGTATGATTCCCCGCTCCTCTCTCTGCGCTGTGGCGAGTTAACCCCTGCCCAGACATATCCTACACGCGCCTGCCCGCCTCAATCAAGCTCATCCCGAACTTCGTTCACGACATGCACACCACGTTTTGGGCGCTCGCGCAGTACGCGTTCCCGCAAGGGCGCGCCGAGGCTCTCAGTCGTATGCCCGAGGACGGCGGTGAGCTGATCAGGCCTGCCGATGCGAGCGGGCAGAGACTCGAGCCGGACGAGCAGATGATGTGCTTGGATTACCTGTACTACGTTTCGGCACGCACTGTGAGCAGCGACTTTTGTATGTCTAACAACAGACTAGCTCTGACGAGAGTCGCAGCCGTTCGAGTTTGAGAAGGATTACAGCCCGGCGTGGCGAGAGGTCGCGACGCATATGCATTGGACGGATCGGTTACAGGAGATCACGAACGGATTTATTCGCAAGGCGTTTGAGCTGCCCGAAGGCGCTGACATCCCTCCCGTGCGTACCCCTCCCGATCACATTCTACTGCCTATACTCACCTCTATTTCTCCCCCCCCCCCC